AAATCGGTTGAAGAAATTATGTAGCAGCTTCAGGCCGGAGCGATTACGGTAAGCCTCGTTGAGCTCGACGGTGACGGCAGATGACGTCATATTCTGAAGACGGTGGGGCAGTGAAGGAGGGCCTGCTTCTGCTTACGGGGGAACACCTAAGGAATATTCGCCGTAAAACTTTCATTAACATCGGCTCCCTGTGCGACGAAAAGTTCGATGATGTGCGCCATGGGCAAAGTGTCTCTTTTTTTTGGCCACCCCTGTATATTGTATGATACTCGCTCGATGCAGTCTTCCATCTTATCGAACTACTCCTCGGAGGGCATGTCCACAGAAATAAGAATAATAATGATAACGTTACCCCTAATCCTAATCGAGCGGCAGGAATAGGCTATCGAACAGGTAAATAAATAATCGAACAAAACAGATAAAAAATAAGGCACGTAGAATGCTTCAGAAAAAGATCTCGAAGTATGTAATATTTGGGATTACCAAGCTACAAGATGCACTCACATTCACATGATTCCGATTGCAAATTTGAGAAAAGCAGAACCAATTTCAGTTGCTCAAGGACTGAACTGCTTGCCAGTTTCCATAATCCCATTTCTCTTCTGTCGAATTGCCGGCGAATCGATTCGGGTAAATCAAAGAGTAGCTGTAACCCGGGCACAAAGTTGCATGATACGTAGTGAAGAAGATACACTGTGAAATTCCACACACAATCTATGGAACACGAGAAATAGTTGAAAGCAGGGTCAACCGTTACGTTGGACCGATATTGGAGCGACGTTGGACCGATGTTCACCGCTCTCCGCGCCGGCATTCACTCTCGCCACCCGCGAGCCGTCTGTGTCTCCGTGCGTACGTTCACTCTCGGCATTACTCTCGTCGTCGCGTTGGACTTTGTCCAACGGACGGTTGACCCTGGTTGAAGGATGGAGGAATTGGGCTCCATGGAAAAGGTCACCGGCGGCGCGGACGCGTTCGCGTGTTGGTGACGTCACAACGGCGGCAAGACAGCGAGCAAGGGCCAGCTTTTCCACCATTACTTCAATAGTTAAGTACTCCGAGCATCTATCGTGCTCTTACTTCACTGTGTGATAAGTAGAAGTAAGTTGGAATCGAACACGAAAACTCAGCTCAAATTACTGACAAAGTACTCCTACTCCACATAAGGGTTTCCACATGAAAGCCTCGATTCCTCTACATTTTCAAGAAATTTCAATTCCTAAGGCAAGGATGGTACCTGAACATAACACAATCATTTCTCTCGCGGCACAACTGATTGAACAAGTTGGTATAGTGCCAGAAGCCCAGCTTATTCAAGCAAAGTGGCAGCGGCGCTGGCCACTGCTCGCCCTTCCTTCGAATCTGTCGCAGCTGCGACGTCATTTTGACGTCACCAGCACGCGCTCGCGTCCGCGCCGCCGGTGACCTTTTCTCTCCCCCCCCCATTTCCCATCCAC